TGTCTCTCTTTGTGTCTCTTTGGTCAAATTAAAATAAATGAGTGAATAAATAAAGAAAAAAAGAGGACATTATTAAAAGAATCCAGTCAGCAGCCCATCAGAAAAGGAAGGTTTTCAGGGGCCATACATTGGCATTTAAAACGCAGATAAACTGCTCAATCTGTGGCAGCTCCCTAAAATCAAACCCTTGTAGGGACCAGCAGGCAGGGACCAGCAGATGGTGAAGCGGTTAAGGCTCTGGATTCCCACATGGCCACCGTGGTTCAAGCCCTGACTAGTAGCTTGCTTTCTCACTTTGTCTCTCTGGTGAGTACATGTGCGCTATAGCAAATTAAAAATAACGACAGGGCCAGCAGGTGGCAGAGTGGTTCAGGTGCGAGGCTCCTATATGGCCCACTGCAGTCTGAATCCCAGACCCAGCAGCTTGAAGCTCACACCAGGCACGTGTACACGTGCCCCAAATCCGAAGAGGAAACTGGAGGGAAGGACCTGCAGTGTGGCCCTCCCTCAGCGGAGCGTTCTCACGCGCTCTCTCCAGCAAGCACATGCTCTCTATAGAAAAATCTCTTCCCCCACCCAAAAATACCAGTAATAATAACATTAAATGAATCTTTAAAAAAAAGCGCCACAGCTTGGACATGGGAAGCAGGACAGGCAGTGTGAAGGGGGCTGTCCGCAGATTCCCATAGGTCGGGGCATCTGTCTGCCCTGGGCAGCAGTCTCCTGTGTCTGTTTCTGAATGTCAGCTACTCTGCCTAGCAATGACCAGATGGAGCCCCTGGCTACCGAATGTCAGAGGATGGGATGCCGGACAACTCCCTACAGCTGCTTTCACGCCACGCTCTAGAAGGGCAGACACGAGGGCTGTCATTACACACGTAGAGTATTCCCAATCCTTTTTTTTTTTAGGGGGGAGAGGTTTTGCTATAGGGCACGTGTGCTCAACAGAGAGACAGAGAGCGAGAAATCACCTCCCAGGGGGGATGGTCACGCCGCAATCCCTTCTCCTCCATTCTCCTCTCGGGATCTTGGGCACACACGCACACGCGCCAGGTGTGAGTTTAAGTCACCGGGTCTGGGACTCGAACCGTGGTCAACTACATGGGTTCCAGCGACACAGCCATTATGCTAACTGCTGGTCCCAGTATGCCCATTCTTATAAGAAAAAAGACTGTGGTTGAAGGTCTCACTAAAGAGCCAGAGAAACTGATTAGATACTCCGCCGGGGAGGGGAGGTGAGAGTGACAGTATACCACAGGTTGAAGCTGCCTGTCAGGCAGGCCCGCCCATGGCGCCAGATCGCACGGTCACCATGAGCCCTGCACTGCCGACGGGGGCTGCTGTTCGTCAGGTGGTCATGGCCCACCGCGCTGCCAACGGGGGCTGCCATTCCTGCCTGCCCTCACAAGCTGAAGCCTGACCCGCCTGGAGCCCGTCCTGGCAGCGCGTCCCTGGCAGGCGGCTCGTGGCCGGCGCGGCCCATACCCACGGTGCTGGCCTCCTTGCGCAGTGTCTCCCCACGCCTCCTGTTGTCCAGGTGCAGATCTGCTAGCTGGGTTCCAAGCTTGGCAGCATGACTGTGAAACCAAAAACAGCAACCGAGCAGTGACACGCGTGCCAAGAGCTGACATGCATTATCTGGAAAGCTGCACAGGCTCAGGGCACACGAGGTAGGCTGGACACTCGGGAGAGCCCACACAAGTGACACGGGACAGAGGGCTGGGTGTGCTCTTACGTCCTTATCTTTTAACTGCCAGGGTGCACACATTAGCTGGGAAGAGACAGGTGGAGGGTGGCGAGGGGGAGAGCACCCCAGGGCACGGCCACACCGCAGTTCCCTCCTCCATTCTCTCCTGTCGGCGTCTGGGGCTCACACCTGCACCGAGGTTCTTCAAGCCACCGGGGCCGAGATCTGAACTGCGGACAGCCATGTGAGGTCTGGCTCTCTAACCACCATGGGCTGGCCCACATTCCGAATTACTGTCTTTCCAAGCCTCACCCAGGTCTGTAACTGGTCCTCTCTCAGCATTTCACTTTGAGAGAGAATTTTGCTATAGGGTGCAACTGCTCGCTGGAGAGACAGACACAGAAAGTGAGAAATCACCCCCCAGTAGATGCCCATGCTGCAATCCCCTCTCCTCTCGGGATTCCAGGCACACACATGCCGCCTGGCCTGAGTCTCAAGCTGCGACGTACAGGACTTGATGGGAGTCCAGCCCTCAAGCCCTGTGCCGCCTGCTGGCCCCTCGGCTTCCCCCTTGTCTTTGGCTTGTACAGAGTACATGCTGCTCATTCTGCAGACCCACTATGCATGAAGTCACAGGTGTTTATGTTCTTAGAGATTTTTTGCTATAAGGTACGTGTGCTTACCAAAGAGATGGACAGACAGAAAGTTAAGAAATCACCCCCCGGGAGGATGACCATGCCACAATCCCTTTTCCTCCATGCTCCTCTTGGGACTTTGGGCATGCACAGCCAGCATGAGTTTTAAGCCACCTGGTCCGGGACACAGACCACGGTCAACTACGTGGAAGTCCAGCGATGTAACCATGACCCCATCTGCTGGTCCACGGCGTTTCTTTTTAATTTGTTATAGAGCGCATGTGCTCTCTGGAGAGAGCAGAGACAGAGAGGCAGTGAGAAGGAACCCCCAGCAGGGACGGCCACACTGCAGTCCCTTCTCCTCTCAGAATTCTGAGCAGGCACACCCATGTGCCTGGCATGTTTCTCAAGTCCCTGGGTCCAGGACTTGAACCACGCAGTCAGACATGTGGGACCCAGTTGCTTTAACCATCATGCGACCTGGATGGCCCAGTCATGGTTTTTTAAATACAAAATCCCTCAAAATTTTGGCTGCAAGTATAAGCTTTGGGGATAAAAGAACCACTCAGGGGAAACAGCTACCCAGCGGAGAGTGTCCGGCACACCTGCTCAGAGAGTGCATGTCCAGATGCTCCATCACCAGCATGCTCCCACCTCCTGGGCCTTCGAGGACCTTAATGGGCTTGGGCACCTTCACTGTGTCTGTTTCCAGGATGGCGGTTAAGCTTGCCATCTCACCTTCAAACATTCTTCGGGCCTGAGAAAATAACGCAGGGGAGAGAAGCAGGAGACGAGGTTACTCCCAGGTTTTGTACTGACATGGTCTCCTCTAGGACCGTGGTCTCAAGCCGTGGCCCTGACTGAGGACTCGCAGGCGTGGCGCTCGTCAGCAGACTGGGCTAGAAGCTCTGAAGTCTGGGGAATGCGAAAGGTCACACCGTCGAGCACCGAGCGCACTTCCACACTGTGCTCAGATCCAAAGGCTCTCCAGGGAGAGGGACGAGGCGGCTGCTGATACCCCAGTAAGTGCCCGGTCCAGAGCTGGGCTGTGTGGGCGGCTGCTCTGTATCCTCAGGCAATATCTCAGGCTCGTCACCAGTTGGACACAGGCTCACCAGACCCTCGGGCCTGTCTGCTTTCGCTGGGAACCTGGGCAACGTTCCATCTCTGAGGACACAGACCCACTGGACCCTCAGGCCTGTCTGCATTAGCTGGGGACGACCTGGGCGATGTTCCACCTCTGGGGACACAGACCCACCGGACCCTCAGGCCTGTCTGCATTAGCTGGGGACGACCTGGGCGATGTTCCACCTCTGGGGACACAGACCCACCGGACCCTCAGGCCTGTCTGCTTTTGCCGGGAACATGGGCGACATTCCACCTCTGGGGACTAAGTCCTAGGCCACCCTACCTGGCACTGGAAACCACCTCACCTGGACCACGGCTTCCATCCTTGTCCCTGGAGCAGTGCCGGCCACCCAGCTCCCCACATCCCATCTCACTGCTCACCACACCAGGATCCCCTTAGAAGGCAGATCTGACCCTGGACACACACCAGGCCAGCAACCCTGACCACAGGCCCGGTTCCTCCTCCCTCACCCGGGCCACTGCCCTGAGCCCACCCTGCACACACTTACAGTCCTGATGCTCCTATCTTCCAGTATTCTCTTAATTTCTCAAAGGTCCCCTCCTTTGAGCCTTAAAGTCACTGCATGCCATGTCACCTCTGCTGGAAACACTATTCCCCCATCCTGTGTCAAGTCAGTTCCTTCCTAGTGTTTCCGCAGATTACAACTTAACATCAGTTTCGACAACTCAAAGAAATTTTCCTTGTTAGTGAATTCCTCCCCTTTACCATCTTCTATTAAAAAACAAGTCGACACATTACATGCGTGAAGGAGCGCGTCCGACCCGGCCCTCACGGCACAGCCACCGCCAGCGTGGAGACCGGATACACCATGACCCAGGAAGGCCTCTTTTCCCCACCTCATGGCCACACGGTACCAGGGCAGCATCCACCCCACCTCGGCCACCCCGGGTCTATTCTGCACGCTCTGCCATTCAGTCAGGTGGTCTCTGGGGCCGTCTTCACTGCAGGCTGCACTTGCTACGTTTTATGCATAAACAGCAGTTCACTCTCCCTGCTGGGGAGGGCTGTGTGTGCACATGCCGGAACGCGTCTGTCCACTCTACGGTCGGTGGACACCTGGCCTCCTGGTCTGGAGCTATGGCAGAGCGCGGCCATGACCACGCCTGTTTGTCTCTGGGTGACCTCGGCACGCTGCTTTACAGCTCTGTGCCTCGGTTTGCGCATCCACAGTCACCAAGTACCCATCGTACAGACTGGCTGCCAGCCTGAGCGTCAGGCCCTGATACTCACACAGCCCGCCGCTGATACTCACACAGCCCATTCCGGACTCTGTAAACGGGACTATGAGGCTTCCAAACGCCCTCGGAAATGCGCGTCGTAAACACCGTGCAGGCTGCCGTGGCCTGGCGGCTGGGGCGCAGGCTGCACACGGCCAGCTACGGTGGAGCCCAGCCCCACTGTGGGTGCTTTCTCGCTGTTTCTCTGGCAAGTGCACACTCCCTCTGGCAAAACTGAGAAACTGAAATCGGCCAGTGCGTGGTGCAGTGGTCAGGGCACCTGGCTCCCACAGGCCGGCTGTGCAGTTCGAGCCTCAGCCCCAGCAGCCTGAGACAGGCCAGGCACGTGTGCATGCGTGCCTAAGATCCCCAAAGGACGGGGAAGCGGAGAAGTGGCGGTGTGACCACTCCCACGTGGGTGCCCTCTCCCCTCCGGTCTCGCTGCAGCAGCTGCCCGTGCATTTTAACAGACCCTCCTCTGACTACCTCAGCTACAGCAGCCGAGGACAAAGATGAGGACCGTGTCCTCCGACTCCGCAGGGCATTTCCCCGGAAGATAGATAAAGGGCAGACCGGGCCCTGGCTGTACTTCTATGAGGGTGCTGGGTGTGGAAAGTAAAATAAGAGACAGTGTTCAAAATAATCCAGGCGAGGTGAAGGAGGGTGTGTGGACCAGCCAGAGCCCACAGCTCCTCGGGAGGATACCTCACCAAGACCCCAGGTTCCCAAGTAACCCAGAAGGAGCCCGAGCAGACCAAGGTACCTGACAGCTCAGCCGTGGCTGCAGAGCGTCCACACCTTACCCAGGGAAGCCGGCAGGGCGCCCTAGAGCGAAGCCCACTTAGACCAGGTCCAGGTGGCCCGAGCAGTCAGGGCAGGAGCCCCCACGCAGTCTTGTCCTCGGGGCTTGGAAGGGGCCGGCAGGTGGGGTGGCGGATGGCTGCGCTCCCACCTGGCTGCCCTGGGCCACACTGGCACCCGCCGGGCCGAACCCCGAGACCGACACCGGAGGGGTGTCCCTCCCCGTCTCCCTGCTGCGAGCCGCACCGGGGGCAGGAGTAAAGGAGCAAGCCTGGGGGCGGGC